CGTGGTTGGCAGAACACAGATACCCCATCGTGTAGTTTTGTGCTTAACTTCAAACAAACAAACTCACTGATTTACAAATAACAGTGTAACAACGCTCAAAAAAGGTTGGAATCCTTGTTTAACAACATTAGTGTTTTACTGCATTTTAAAGTTAGTAACACCAATGAATACTGACGTTCCTAACTTAGCAGCAACAATGTAAAAACTGGTGATCCGAATTTAAGAAGCTTAATATTTAGCTGTGCCATTAATCTAGAAGACTCACTACGCAGTACATTGTTTGATATCTTGAAGCGTGTTTCTTGTTTAACAATATCTCTTTTCCATCTACTTTTTAAATGAAGGCTTCGGATATAGCCTTCATCAATCAATGTGTTTTCTCTCTAACTGGTGAACCGAAAGCGGATGAAGATGATGGACGTAGTACAAAAATACATAGACATAAGGGGTAAAAATTGATCAGAGTAGGAATATTGCAAATCAAAGAAAGACCATTCAGAAATAGTAAGAGGAGGGCCAAAGATTAACAATATTATAGCGGAAATGAAGCAGGAAGTGATGCGCAAGAGAATAGCTTCAGACAGACTGAGAGAAACAAGACTGAAGAGAGGCTGTGGTAGACTGAAGAAGACAAATCACACGATGAATACGGCCAGTGTTTCGTCGTTTATTCTAAGTTAATGCATAAGATTTGATTAATATAAAGTTGATTCTCTTGAATAATTGCGATCTTTTATTACCACGTTATCGGAATTCAAAATAGATGAACAGGTATATAAAAAATAAGTACCACAGTCAGTACTCATGGTATTGAATTTGTTTGCCCATCTTTTTGTAAGTTATGACGTGTCGATGAGTTAAACATTTAAGACTTTTTCATCTATGTTTATATTATGATCATGTGTTACAATCATCAGTATTAAACAAAAGTCCCCAGTGCCACAGCGGAATGTCTGAGGACTTACAACGCTAGAAACCGAGTTTCGATACCCGTTGTGGGCAGAGCACAGATAACCCATTGTGTAGCTTTGTGCTGAAGTACAAACAAACAAACAAATTCAACAAAAATGGTGTTAGTAATGTTCTACGAACAGAAATTTGTTAATCAACCCAACCAGCACGAAAGAATATCGATTCGTAAAGTCAGACTAAATACTGACCAATTATTAAAGTTATGTTAGTTTCCATGAATATTTTTTCTGTTCATATGATGCAAAGAAATAATCGTAATTTGTTATGTTTTTTTAATGCAGATTCTAGCTCTGGTTCCTTACATGTTTAGCATCTATACATGTCAGTCATAGTGAATTCCCGACTACTTGACAGTGCAATGTACTCCCCCCCCGGAGGATCAGCGGCAAGTCTAGGGGCTTTTCACGCTACAGATAACGTTTCATTACCCATTAGATTCTTAACAGTATTAGAGGGTATGCTCATCTTCATCAGTAGCCTTTTTTGGGGATCAGAAAATTATTTTTTATAACCACAGTCTTCATATTTTGGATGAGGGCATTTCTCCAGATAGAGTTAGGGTGTGGTTTTGGAGCCCAAATGTCTTAAATGTTCAGTGAGGGCTCACTTTTATCGAGATATTATATCCCTTGGCTCTAAATCATTTAATAGTTTCGTTAAAGAATTATTGCTATTCAAAAAGTTATGAATTCCTTTGAACATAAGTAACTTACAGTAGCATTGCACTATTGTTTATTTGTTTTTAAGCACGAAGTTTTAGCCAGTGTAAGAAATTCCACAATTTTTTCATGACAAATATGGGTATTTACCTGTCAAATTCACTGTAATATGTCCAGTAGACATTTATTCCTTTGTCCTGCTCAATCGTAATTCTGGTTGCACAGCGAAAGGTCTGTGAAAAGTTGCCCAAACCGTAATCTCAAACTGACCTTGTCATTCTTCGCAGAAGATGGATGTTAAGGCATCAGACAATAATATGTAATCATGACCATCAGGCTAATCACAATCAACAATGCAGTTGATGCAGTCCGTTACAAAAATAGCATTGGATCTATAAAATCGTTGTTACAAACATAATTAACTTTCAGTTGAGAAACACTCAGGTGAGAACGGATTCAGCGATCTGCATTTTTGTAAATTTATATTTATTTTTCACTACATGAAAAGAAAACATATAGAAAATTAAGACGAAGTGGTTATTGTATATATAAAAAAGTTAACATTAGTCTAACTCTAATTCAGAATTTTTCAAGTGGAGCATTCCCCCAAACTCTCCTAGTAGCCGCGTGTTTTGAGGAAGTGCACTTCTAAAATGTTTGACTTATTTAAATTCTTGCTTTCCCACTCACTCCTACATGTTTTGTTTCCAACGCCTTGACTTGTATTTGGCGCCCAAAGAGAAATACAGCGAGAGAAAGCTGTTATTGTTGTTGAATTACAAAGTATCAGAACTTTAATTTACAACTCGAACATTGAAGTTGGAAGTTTAAAAATACCATTTTTAACCGAACTATTAGCTACAAACATAAGATGTATTATAAAAAGCACTTTTTACTCACATTTTTATTCTTAATGGCATTGAAGTTTTGAAAAGAATAGTCGAAGTGCTATCTATCGTCTATACAAGAGCATGTATGGAACGATGATATTCCTGCAACCAATTTTCAATTATTGATTCAGCAGACTGAAATGATGCCTAAAGTCAAAAACACTTTGTTCATCAAGAGTTTAAGACAAGAGCTTATTTGATTTAAACCAAAGTACAAGTAAGTTTATTTTGTTTAGTAAAATTGATTGAAACAGTATATACCATTATATAACGTAAACATTTTTCTTTTTAAGAAACAGTGCTGCTGCTTAATTGTGGAGGAAAACACTTAAAATCATCATAGAAAAAAAACTTCTGATTGATGAGGAATATTCTCGTCTGTCAAAACTTTAGTGGTAAGTTCGCTGGTTTCGCTGTCTTTTCCGCGGTGATCTAACCTCAAATTTTAGCATTATAAGATCTAGATCTGACTCCACTGAGTCACTGAAGTACTATCTCTACATAGAAATAATCAGAATGATAACATTTCGTTTATTATTCAGAATTCGTAGAATTCTATTTAATCTTAGAAAAAAATAACATTTTTAACGCGTTTCGTCGAAAGCATTAACATAATTTTTATTTTAATCCGACAATAGTCGAAAAATTCTTGAAGCGCTACCAGAAAATTACAGCATAGGGTGTATATTGTACAGTATTTATAAGTTAAGAATACCTTGCCACTATAATGCAAAAAAAAACAAGAACTATTAAAGAATAATCGGAATATATAACTATGACAAGGCAAAGTCAATGTTATGAAATAACGTCAGTAAGCTCCCAATCCATTCTTATGCAAATCAGGCATCTGATGATCAGCCATGTGATCTAAAATATAACAGATTGATCATCGAGTTGCTGACCAGATGGTAAACTCATCGAACTTATTTAGTACGTATAATACGTGACTCCAAGTATTAAAGATGCCCTGAAAACAACTCTCTCATGTATAGTCTGATTTTAGGAATGCATCATCATCATTGGTTCCAGCTTTTCCTGAGACACTCCATTTTAAAGTAACTGTAAATTTGTAAATCAATCACTACAAAATGTGCATTTACAAACATACTGTGAGTGATCGATCATTTCCATTTCAGATCACATGACGTATCATCACAGCCTTATTTACATAACAGTGTACTAACGATTGGTTGACATGACTTTATAACAGCGTTTGTTTTCGCCTTTTTATAGTTGACATATTATAAACTCCATTTATCGTTATTTTTCTTGTACGATGTAATTAAATAATATATATATATTGATTTTTTATCAGTCATGTCTGTCACTTATACAAGTAGTAAAAAAGCAGCATTGTTTCAGAATTGTCTGGCTTCTTCTACAAATTACTTTACGTAGTTTACATTTATATACTGTACCATGGTATTAGGATTTTCAAACTTCTGTAATATAATATTTCATTCCTTTTGGTAAGATTAATGTATTTAATGTAGTCAATTTGTGTAACTGAAAAAAATGATAATTACTAAATAAACTGTTCACATTCCGAAATTTGTGAATGTTTGTTGGTTGACGTCTTATTAAGTCAACTTTAGTAACATTAAATAATGCATTAATTGTTTGTATGTTTGTAATTAAGCACAAAGCTACACAATGGGCTATCTTTGCTCTGTCTACCACGGGTATCGAAACCCGGATTCTAGCGTTGTAAGTCCGCAGACATACCGCTGTGCCACTGGGGGCAAATAATGCATTAAACTGGGCTTATCACTTCATTATCATGCCCCTGGTAGCTACTTCTTTAACATTACTACTCGGCATTACGTTAAAGTTTGTTTGTTTGTTTTTTCACGGGGTTAATGTCTAATACTGGATGTCCATCTATGTACCACGTAAAAGAAAATACAAATAGTTATCTAGAGAGATGTGTTTGTGATATGATTTATCAGGAAAAATACCAAATATACAGTTCGGCAAACTATCTTACGTTATGCATGTCAAAAAAAAATGTTTCAAAAAAGTTCAGCTCATTCAGCTATGATTCTTCTTTCCATGCTTCCCCCCCCCCCACGAACATTCACAAGTGACGTCAGTTGTAAGAGTGACTACATAAATCGTATTTATACTTTTCTTTAAAATAACTAACCAACGTTTTATATCGTATTATTGCTATCTTTAGATCTATAATAGATTAGATAGCAGTAAACGTTCGTAAATCTTGTTTCCTTGCAAATAAACGTCACCTGTGTTAGTATTGAATTTGTCCTCCTTTGATAAAAGCTCACCCCTTACTACAGTGAGCTTATCCCAAATCCTGCCTTGAGATCCGTGCAAACTGCCAGCTTTACGGACTGGTCTGAGTGTTCATTTATCAACAAAACACTCGGAGTGCTTGATCTTTGAGTTATAGAAGTGTGCGTGTGCTTTACATATGACTAATGTAGTCTGTCAAGAGTTTTGTTTTCACATAACTAATTTGTGACATTCTCTTTCAACGTTACTCGTAAACTTAAAATGACGAAAGTTCGTGTTCTGTCATCGCATTCTGTGTTGTATCTTAACTATCTTGGTAAGTAGTTACTATATCGGAACTGTTGTTTTCAGCAAACTTTGATGCACAAACTGTTCTATCTGCTCTCTGTCAATTGAGCGAGAGTTATTTGTCCGTAATTGGAGCATTAATTTCCTCACAACTCAACGTGACTTTCGACAGTTTATGTACGAACGTAAAGTATGGCTCGGCCATGAGAAGAACAATGTAAAATCCATGCTGTTATCCAACTTCACGTACGAGTGCTATTAATATAGAACGTTACCAGTTAGGCAATAGTACCGGAATGGAAAACACACTCCTGCTTGTTGTCTGTGCTACACACACCTGTTGCACTTGAACAATCCCAATTTGTACAGACATAGAAATAATGGTAATTTACGTTATTTAAGGAATCAAGGAACGTATTCTATTCGGCAACTCAGTAAATATGATAAGAAATGAAGATAGGTATTCAGCAAGTCAGCAAATAAGGAGAACATCTGCTATAAAAATGTAAGATTTCGTGTACCTTTATTTGTTTTCTGTGCCTCAGTTTACTTAGGAAGTACCGTAAAAAATAACAACAACAAAACATGAGCTAGATCTAATGTGCTCATTGTTATTAAAATTAATGCATTAACTGAGATTCTCTATTAATTACGAATACTTTGTATTCTCTGTAATTATGTGAAATACTTTTCTGTGTGTAAAACATCTGTTCTAATATTATAATACATGTTGTGCTCGTTGATTATCGCCTGGAACTAAAAGTTTCTGTTTGAATATCTTTCTTTAATAGTAGTCATGACCACACTTCAGTATTTATGAGGTGCTTACTACTTATTTTCTCTGCACAGAGAATATGAGAAGCAATGATCCGTGCAAGACTGTGAAATACAAGCCATACACGAAAGAGGGGCCATACCTGGATAACGAAGTAAATGAAATAGTTGTTGTCAGTAATGCAGCGTCGGAAAGTGTCGAGTATGGAACCGGAACTTTAACCGCTAATGGGCCACGCGTAATCCCGGGCATCATAACCTCCATAGCCACGGAGCGGGTGCGACTAGTGTCGGAAGAACGACCAAATGCGAACAGTGTACGACTCCAAGCACCTTCTCCACTTTGTTCTGCCAAATCATCGGAAAACTTAAATCTCAAATCAGCATCAAGGCAAAGCCTTTTGGAAACTTTGACGAGTAAGTTTCACACGGGAGACATGAAACGGAGATCACGTGACTCTGTGGCTTTCGTGAATAAAGCCCACATAAACTTCGAGTTAGAAGTTTCTCGAAAGACAAGAGAACAACGAAGAAAAGAGATCAAGCGAGAATTTGAAAAGTTGGACACTTCTAGCGCCGGTAGTGATAGAAATGGATGTAACTGGACTTTTGTTTTTGATCCATCGGGCAGACTCTGCTATTACTGGTCTATGATTGTGAGCGTTGCTTTCCTCTACAATTTCTGGGTAATAATCTATCGTTTTTCCTTCCAGGAAATTAACAAAGACACTCTAGTGGCCTGGTTTACTTTGGATTACATCGCGGATTTTCTTTATATACTAGATATCTGCTTCCACTTTCGTGCTGGTTATCTGGAGGAAGGAGTACTACAAACTGATCATGAGAAACTTAGAAAACATTACATGAACTCTACCATGTTTTACATTGATTGCCTGTGTTTACTTCCGTTAGACTTTCTCTATCTGTCCATTGGCTTTAACTCAATTCTTCGATGCCTCCGTCTTGTAAAGATCTATCGCTTCTGGGCTTTCCTCGATCGAACAGAAAGACATACCAACTATCCAAATGTCTTTCGTACTCTTTCGCTTATTCACTACTTCCTTGTCATATTTCACTGGAATGCTTGTCTTTTTCACATCATCTCCACAAATGGTGGGTTTGGTTCGAGAGACTGGTTTAATTCACGTGGTGAAAACTGCGTCGACGTCCTCTGTGAGTACCTTCACTCTTTCTACTGGAGTACGCTAGCTTGGACGACTGTGGGAGACCTTCCCCGGCCGAGGACTAGAGGAGAATACATGTTTCTTATACTAGAACTGGTTTTTGGTTTATTTTTCTTTGCTGCTGTCCTAGGTCACGTGGCTAATATTGTTACAAACGTCAGTGCTGCCAGAAAAGAGTTTCAAGGTAAGATGATCTCAACTTAATGTAATTTTATCTACTCAGATTGTCCACTTGGTTTTATTGTCAGCAGATTGTTATGGGGATCGATTGTATGATTCACAAGTTCTATGTTCTTAAAACACGCGGATTCCTATGACAATCTGTAATGACGTCAAGAAATACTAAATATCAAAATTTCATTGAATTAAAGTTATGTACTTTTTTACTCTAACGGCAGTCTTCTTCGAGATCTTACATTTGCAAATGACGTTATTGATATCTGAAATATTGGTTGAATGACATTATGTACTGCTTGGTAGTCAAAACCATCCACCTCCAACTCTTAGGCTACTCTTTACCAACGAAGAGTTCGACTGATCGTCACATTTTAACGCCCCCACGGCTGAAAGGGCGAGCATGATCGATGACGGGAATCGAACCAATGATCTAGAGCTTTAGAGCCCTAACCAACAGGCCGTGCCAGACTCACTTTTGTAATAATAAACATATATTGCTAAAGTGAATCGAGTGAGAACCAGTAATTAATCAAAGGTTCCGTGTTCGCGTCCGGTTATTTCCTAAAATATTTCACTCCACGCTTTAGGGCCGTAGGTACGTTATAAGAGTAACAGTCTAATTCCCCTATTTGGTCTGACAAGAGAAGCCCAAGACTTGGTGGTGAGTGGTGTTGACTAGCTACCTCTAGGTCTCTCTCTCTCCAAATTAGAAATGACTAGCGTATATAGTCCGCATGTAACTTTGCGCGAAATTCAGTAAAATAAACAAATCACTAGAGTAACATTAATGGGGGAAAAAAGTTGGAATGGAACCTGACCTTTCCGGGTCAAACGACCCCCAGATACCGGTGAAGATCAACGGAAATATTTTTGAATGATATGTCACTGAATATATCAATTCCAGTCAAAAATTGAAGTAAACATCATATAAGCAAGCGGGAACTTAAAGGAAACATCATTAGGCATAACAGTTCAGTTCTTCCAACCCGTATGTGCAAATGTATTCAACATATCAAGCAGTCTTGTTATTGGACTTACCGATTTAGAAGTATCCAGAACAATAATACAAAATGACAACTATTTATGGCAGATATGTTTATTGCGACTTCGAATGGTAAAATAATGTAATAAACCGTTTATAGTGATTTCGAATAGTGAAATAATGTAATCAACTGTCTACTGTGACTTCGAATAGTAAAATAATGTAATAAACCGTTTATAGTGACTTCGAATAGTGAAATAATGTAATAAACCGTTTATTGCGACTTCGAATAGTGAAATAATGTAATAAACCGTTTATTGCGACTTCGAATGGTAAAATAATGTATTAGACCGTTTATTGCGACTTCGAATAGTAAAATAATGTAATAAACCGTTTATAGTGATTTCGAATAGTGAAATAATGTAATCAACTGTCTACTGTGACTTCGAATAGTAAAATAATGTAATCAACTGTCTACTGTGACTTCGAATAGTAAAATAATGTAATAAACCGTTTATAGTGACTTCGAATAGTAAAATAACGTAATAAACCGCTTATAGTGACTTCGAATAGTAAAATAACGTAATAAACCGCTTATAGTGACTTCGAATGGTAAAATAATGTA